AGCTCATGTCAGTTCAACTCATAACCCTTTTGTTTTTTGCAATCCTTATGAGGTTCAATAATAGCACAATAAAAAAATAAAAATCTGTAAGACACAACTGTCAAACTACAGCTTCCCATGAAGCAATATTCTAAATACAGCTCTACACATACTGTATACTGCACATCAGATATCAAGTGGAAACTTGTGATCAGAATGATGCTGGTCAGATAGTTCCTGATCCAATGACAGTCATGCCCAGGATGCAGTACAGGTGATGAATTGCGTTCAATGAAGTCTGTGCAGGGGGACACACTGTTCACACTTTGTCTTGCTACAAGCGGTCCAAAACCAAGACCACAGTTCCAGAGCAGCAATGTGGAAGAAGAAGGAATTCAGCAGAAGCTACATAAGCTCAGACATAACATTTTTCATGGCTGAATTACAATATACTGCCTTTCCCATCTGCACGGAGGATTTTAAAGCTCACACCTGTTGCATAAATATTAAAGACTAAACTGACTAAACAATAAACTGATAGGTATCTGCCAGTTCTACCCCCTCTAAGTTAAGATATCTTCTGAGTGTATCTAAGATATCTTCTGAGTCACCATTCAAATACCCCTTCCACTGCAGTTACTATTATCACCTCGCACCAGAAACAGGCATATTAACTGATTTATTACATGAAATAAATATTCTTCATTATGTCACCTCTTCTAAGATTCTTGAAGACCCTGTGGTTGATAAAGCAATCTAGTGAATAAACTGTGTTAACATAGAATGCCAATATATATGTCTGGGTTTTTTTTTACACTGTGAAAAGATAACAACACACATAATTAGCTTAATCTCCACAACCTTCAAATCTCACATTGAACAAGAAAATGTGGATCTGCTTCCATAATCATTCCTGCTGTTGTATTTGGAATGCTCAAAGTGTTAGCAGAGCATTACTTGGGATGCATTTTATTAAAGAAAAGGTAGACTTCATAATAACACTAAATATGAATGAGAAAGTAGCTCATTTAAAACACCAGTTAATGTAATAAAATATGTTTTTTTCTTTTACCATATAATAAAAGTGGCTAAATCTCACAATAAGTGGTTGATTATCTCTCTGTTTAAATACTGTATATATCCATTATCAGAAAGCTGCTTATTCTTAGTAAGGGTTACAACAATATATAAATATTGTAAATAAAATATATGTGACAGTCAAATGCTATCATATGATGCTGTCATCTGATGGAAACTAATGCCTTGAGGAATCAAGAAAGACACGTTGAATGTAATGTTTAACAGAAAAATTAAAATGATTATTTTTTTGTTCATTTTGGAGAACAATTCCTCAGATGGATGAAGCTGGTTTACTTTATGGCATTATAAATTTTGTGAAACAAATATGTTTCTTCAAAGGGTGTTTCCTTGTTGGCTTAATATTAAACTGTCAAAATGCTCTCTAGTTATAAATTTAATTTTTCCAGTCTGTACAAATAAAGGTTTTGTCTTAAGACAAACAACCATCCCTCCTTCTGACGCCTTTTGTCACTCCATGTGTTAGCGTAACATTCTATTTTCTGATACAGTGTGCTCAGTTTTAATTATGATATGGGTTTCAAAGGTTTTAATCTACAGATTCCTCTATTTCAACTAGATTTAAGAAATATTTACACTCAGATTTCAAACAACATCAGGTTATTCTGGAACCGCTTACAGTATTGGCAAAACACAAAAGGTCCTGACATTTGAGCTAACAGTTTCAACAGAATATTAACATGTTATGTGGACAAAACAACAAATCCTTTGGAGTGTCCGGAGTGTCTTGTTGTACCAGGCTGAAGAAAGAGATGCTTTGCAGACCTCCAGCTGTGACTGTCCAGTGGTCCAGACTATACTCATGCCAAAGAGATTCAGAGCAACTGAGTCTACTGTGGCCTGGCCAGTCACCAGGCATGAGCCCCATTAACCATCTGTGGGCTAATTTCAACCAATCCCTGTGAAATTGTTCCCAGCTAACCCACTTCCGAGAACTCCCTCACAAAGATTTTGTACCAGGAATGGGCCACAATCCCACGGACTAGGATTGTTAATCTCATCCAGACAATGCTCCTTTACACTAGTAACGAGGCTGTCTCCTCAGATATAAACAGCATTCAGATTTGGCTACTGCGCATAATTCTTAAAGAAAGATGTGAGTTCAGACATTTGACATATCTTTAACCTTTTTTTTTATTTTAAGGAATCCAATCTAAAATCTGGGCTTTGCTTGTGTTTTTCAGACGCAGATGGTAGTTCTGGGCTCTGTCTTTGATAAAATGGGCTCTTGTTTGAACAAGATGAATTCAGAGATTCATACATTCTGAACTGCATACAAATACATCTGACAGCAGTCCCCCCATACAATATCCTCTCTGTCTTAGGTGTTTGGATCTGACACTTCCACTTTATTTTTCAACAGATGTGACATAAGGCAGCTCCTCCGCTAAAAGTGCTAATATCTTTCTGTGCTGAATGTTCTGTTTTTAAAAACGGTGTCAGGCGTTTAACAGTAGTTTTTGAGTGATGTCACTTTGTGGACTTGCTGACGTTAGTGTAAAAGGTGAAGGGCATTTTTCCGAGTTTCTGGTTGTACTTTCTCCTTTACTTTAGGAAGCAAATTTCTTAAATGAACCTTCTCCAGAATCAATGAGAGATTCAACAAGTAAAGGCTACGTCTCGTAGTTCAGAGAATCTTGGCTCCAGCTTTGTCAGTAGCTGTGTCTAATGTTCCCCAAGTTGCGAGACACATTTGTTTGAGGCTGCCAGAGTTGGGTTGCTTGTAAGTCAGCACATGCAAGTTCAGCACATGCGAAGCTCCTCTGTAGACTAGCTGTGTGATCAGAGAGTACTGTGCCAACCATCCACCTGTTACATGAATCTGCTGCTTTACTGTAAGCTTCTAGCATAAAACCAAACAGGTGACTACAGTGCAACTTTTTATCAACAAGCACGTCCTTTCTATGCAGGTTTGGAAGACACAATCACAGATGTTTTTATTTAGAGTACAGAAGAGCAAATAATTCAATAAAAAAATTTCAGAGAGCAAAAAAACATGTCTGCCCACGGTCTTCAAAGTTTGTTATTTTTTGCAGGCGTTAACAGTTCCTATTAAATTGGGCAACTTCATTTCATGAAAAAAAAGACTTTTTACCTTTCTTGTTTTACTTCTGAAAACTAACTTATTGGTTCTCATTAGAAAAAAACAAACAAATGTTAGCCAAAAACAATGTTTTACATTGTATATTTCAAATTATTTTACTGGGTATATCGAAACAACTGTTGCAATTGTATTTGAAAGTTATTTGTTCCAATTGTTTCATCTAGACCTTGTTTGAATGGTCAAAAGAGAATGCACAACAGAAGGCACAACCTTACACGATGAGTTGTGGGCAATATGGAACAAACTCCCCAGACAGGAAGTTGAAGAATACTCTGGAATCTAGAATCTCTCTGATCAATTAGCAGAAGGAATCAAGCGAGAAAACACACTGGACTTGAATGATTCATTTTTCATGTTCCTATATAAATAGCATGAACACTGTGCTTCCTGTGATATCTCTACAAATTAACTGCTTTACAGTCACACAAAAGGTATTCAACTTCTTCCACAGGTGCCTTGGGGCTTAGAGACCAATCCTGTAAGAACATATGGGACAGGTCCAAGGGGCATCAACAATTAACACATTTTAAATTCCACTGATGTTTCCACCATCCAAAGAACTCTGTCATGGCAAAATCAGAGCCAGTGTGCAATTTTAAAAGGTGTTGAGACGTAATACAAGGTTGCAAATTGTACAAAAACACAGTGTGTCCTTCATCCCACTTGGCTATGTATAATTTCAGTGTCAGATTTAGAGTTATACCTCTTACCGTGATGGTGGAGAGAGATTCTGAAAGAACTCTTTGTGATTTAAGGTTTACAGTATGTGCACAAAAGATTAAAAGTAGGAGTCGACCTTTGCTCTTTATGCCCAGCATTTTTTATTTAATATATAAGGGTAATACATTAGTACCTAATGGGGAAAAAAACATTGTGGGAGTAAATACAGTATATAACATGGCAAATCACCCATTCTGCCACACACACACACACACTACGTCTATCATTTTTCCTGTCAGTTCCCAATTTGTCGTGTATGCTGGATTCGTTATATTTCTTCCCGTACAACGTCGTATCTTGAGGGAATATGGTTGCAGCTCTCAACAGAAATACACCACTGTGTCACAGTGTGGATACTGTACTGTAGTTAGTAGTGAGGTCCACCACAGTCGGATAGCTTCACAATTTACTGAACTTACGTCATCATCTGGTGAACTGGTGCAACTCGCACAGTTCTAACAAATAAAGTGAAGTTGCTCCTGTAATGCGTTAAATACGCTGTATGTCTGCATATTAGCAGAATTTACGGTACCGAGTCTGCAATTTACAAGCCAGAAACTTTGAGCGCATTAAAAAAAAAAACTCTTATCCAAACTCTATACAGTTACAGGCGACTTGTTTCTTTTATAGGTAGGAGATTTTAAAATGTATCTGGATTGTGTGTTCTAAGGTTTTATTGTTATCTTTTTGTTTATTTTTAAAACTAATTATTTTTAAATATGTATATGTTACGTATAGTTATATGTATAAACAGTACAGCAAACTAAAGTTTATTATTATTATTATTATTATTATTATTATTATTATTATTATTATTATTATTAAAAACGGTCTATTTGTAGAAAACAAGTCTCGGTTTACTCTATGAATGAAAAGAATACATTATACCACGTGGTTTCGCTTGGTCTGTAAGATGTATGCTTAACACTGTATTATGTACCTGAGGTACAGACTACTCGGTACGCCGAAAGGCTAAATTAAATCTTATTAACGCTTTCACGTACGACGGCGATGTGATAGCAGACCACCTCATCCACACTACAGCTAAACACCACAAGATTTCATTCTCTGTCATAAGGTTAAATTAGCATCACTCTACCTTAGCGTCCCGTTAAAGGATCTTCTCCTTGGCCTCCAACGAATCTTCACGATTTAATGTAAAAGCTGGTGGTATCAAAAAACGGAACCAGATGAAGTTTTAAAAAGTGTTCTGTTTGTTTTAAACGTTACTTCTGCATCGCAAGGAGTAAGGGCTACGTAAACACAAACAAGCAAAACCAAACCGGGGTTGAAGGGCGGACGGTGTTGTAATTTCGTATTCTGTTTTCTTTCCTCGCTCCCCTCACTCTGCGGATGTTCCCTTTAATATCGAAGGCTCAGAAACCGTTCCTTTAAATTACCTCCCAGATTATTGTAAAGTTAACTAGCCATTAAATATGATCAACATAGCGTGCACACTGGAAATAAACCTTTCCTATTCATGATTGCTCCAAAGGGATTCAGTTTCTTTCGACCACCTTTGCAACATCCTACTGTAAATACTTCATTCTAGTTCTGCGTAGCAGAGATTTTTAGTTTTTTTTTTCTCGTCGTAGGCAATCCTTAGGAAAACGTTACTGGTGCATTTAAGTGTTTAAAGATATTTGAAAATTAAAGAGATCCTCAGAAATCAAGGGCAATAAGATTTTCATTTATGTGTGTATATATACAGTATCTGAACGATGAACTCGGATATATCTCAATTATTTGAGCGAGTATTTTCAGATTTTAGATATTTTAAGAAACTTTTAAGATAAAGAAGGTGAGAACACAGTATGTAATAATATTTTTTTAAAAGTTTGAAAAGCAGTTCATGGGTTTTTTTTTACTACAGAGCGGGGGCTGAGAAAATAAACCAATTCATCGCTTTTCTACCTACTGTTCTCGTTCCTAATAGATTTTCGGAACTGATCAATATTTTGATAAACGTTTCATTTTGCCTTGAGCAGATGAATTGCGTATTTTGAGAAATGCAGGCTACTGTATGTATTGGTTTAAATAGAAGGGCTTTTCTCTTCATCATCAGCAAAATAAAGATTAGGGTGGAGATTGTAAAACAAGCACTCTGGAGCACCACCAGATCTTTATTTCAGCGCCTTTGTGATGATATTGATGATGATGATGGCCAAGTGGACAGTTTGATTTTTGTGTGCCGAGCTAGTTATAAAGAATCAATATTATATCAAGGGGTAAGTTTCGTGATAAAGGACTTCAGCCACTCTGGCTATTCATCATAAGTCTGTAGCAAGCAGATAGGTCAAACGAAATTATATTGCACTAAAGAGTGTGTCTTCTTATCTCTATATACCAGGGGAATAAGGGACAAGCCGATCGATACAGTAGCTGCTGTATACTTCTTGCAATTATCAATAGCTGATTTTGTCTTCCCAGAGCTGCATCTATTAATACCACCTAATAACAGCCTTTTGGACATAACTGCAACCCGAAGGGATGAGTGAAAAAAAAAGTTTGTTCGTAGGACGACCTTCCTGTCACAGAAATTGTCTCGCTTGGCACAATACAGCTGAAGGATATACATTTATCAATTGAAAATAAATAAATTGATATACCATTTCAAGTACTATAAAATGTATTTGCTGAATATCAGTCACGATTGTTGGGTGGTATGTTGGTTTAATTTGTTCTCTGTTAATGTGTTAAATATTTCTGACATCTTCGATTAACACCCCAAAACGTCCCTGATAATGATAATTTCAATTACTGACAAATGACAAACAATCCGTAAAATAAGTACAAACGCAAAGAAAAAATATATCTGCAAAACGCTGTGTATGCTGTCGAACAACTATTGATATTTTCCCCATTCACATACTAAAGCCAATATGTAAAATAATACATTTTAAAGTTCAGAAACACTTCAGAATTATTTTCATATCATTGGCTAAAATGGATCAACTACTTCAGAGTTCGAAATGTTATCTTAATAAAATGAAAATTAATGAGTAAATGAGACTCTGTCTTAAGCCCTGCCTAAGCTTCAGACACTTCATCAAATTAATATTCAGGGACACCCCCGGCTGACACACACCTCACTCCCGCCCCCACACTCCCTCAAACTAAATGATGTCAGTATTTTAAACTTCAGAGAAGGCAAAAGTAGAAAGAGTCCACATTTCCTTTCAAATACTTGTACTAAACTACAGGACACTTTAATGTACTATATAAACAAGGGGTTACAGGAAAAGGCGTCAATCTGTGGTGTTCAATATAATGAACTTTGCTGGGCAGACAAGTAGTTGCACGTTGTGCTGACAATACAATTTAATTGTGACCCCTCGTTTTAAAAACGGATTTGTTTTCATATAAATAATTTAAATCCGTTCACCATACGATTTGATCATCCTTGTAATTTGTGACCGAAGCAACATTCATTCGTTTTAAAAGATTTGCACAGAAAAATCATGAAATACTAATTCTGCTCAATGTCATGTTTACAGAGACTTCAGTTTAAAAAATGTCAGATTTTGTCGTCACACACAAAATTTCGAATAAGAAATGCAACACAATTCAAACAATAACCTGACAAACACGGAACTTCATTATTAGATTTCTGCATTTCTATATATGATTAATCTATTAATCAAAATATTTAGTCGGTAATTTATGTATGAATGGGTGATGTGATTATTCGTTTAATTTAGGGGTAAAAGTTTGCTATTATCTATCTTTTTTATCTTTTCTCTAGAAAGTACAGAAACAGGAAGACAGGATGCTCAAAGTAATTATGTCTGCGGCTATCAGTCTTAAGTCGGATTAGTTAATGGAAAGGAACCAAAGTCATTCATTTACGCGTTTCAGATTAAATGTCATTACTACTTGTTAATTTTCCTTTCCGTTTTCATTAATTTTAAAAATGCAACTGCAGAAATGTACTAATTGGTCGCACATTTATATAAATATGTGAGGAAGACAAAGTATACGAAGAGAGATTTATTTCGTATATATAAAATATTGCTACATGTTTAGTACCTTTTGCGAACCGTTGGTATTGAAATGCAGCATGGTTTATTTCGTTTTAACTAATTTTGTTTTCAAAAGAAATAAAACACGTACTGTATATGCAATGTATATAAACTTTGTATAAATTCGCTATATTTTCAATATTAAATGTAGCTCACATTTTCAAGTTGATTTGATTTTATATTGTCACACTTTTAGGGGAACAAGCTTAATAAATAATAATTTATATCATATCAAATCGTTAATTAAAAAAAATAAAATACGGAATAGAATTTGACAGTGCACAATCAGGTTTGGCAATATAAATAAATGGCGCCATTTGTTTTTTAACGGGCTTTAAAAAGATATTAAAACCTCTTGGAAAAAAACTGCGGTATGATATAAAACATGTTTGAAATTGTGAAGATGTATCATTATAGACTCTCATGGTCCGGATAGGGGACGTGGAATCGCTCAAATTGTAACTGTGGTACATCCTAGCGGTGGCACGACGCAATGTAGAGGCTGATCTAAAACTTGCAGCTCAAGACTCGTTCTCACACGCAACACTCGGCTGTCTCCACGCTGGGAGCAATAGACATGGGTAACAACGGTAACGTCAGACCTCTTTTTTACTGAGCGGTCATCTTGTAAAGATCCATCACAAACCCTCGTCAAACTTTTATGACCATCTCCTCCGCGCAGGGAATCCGAACAACTGAAAAAATTACACGTTAACCTAAATAACGTCTCAATCCGAACGAAAGGACCAGAGAATTTGGACAGCGACTCGAGGTTATCGCGCAGCCGACGGTATAGCAGTGGGAAGAGGGGGAGAGAACCTGACCCGCACCGCTTGTAACCTAAGGGTGTTACTTTCTCTCTTTTCATTTACTTTTTTTAAAGAGAAGAAACGGAAGGATCGTCGCATCACACATTTGCATGCCGTTTTCAGTACTAAAAACAAATTTCAAAAGCTCCGACACTGTTCAAACAAACTAAAAGTAAGAACCCCTTAGGAGTTTATTTTTGACCGACGGACTTGAGGAAACAGCAAGCGCACCTGAAAGCAAACACTTAAACAAGAGCTCCCAGCTGCTGTCTAGAAACACAAAAAGAAGAAAAAGTATCTGCATCCGTCTTCAAAACTTTTTTTTCTTTTCTGCCTGTCTCTCGGTGGTCAAAACGGACTGAAATCCATCGGACAGGAGTTTCTTTAATGAAATTCTGTAAAAGAAACATACTGTACCACGTACGCGAGTCAATTAAGATTTAAAGCTGCGAAGAGAAAAAAAACAAGGGGATTTTGGGAAGCACTTGAAAAAGAAGGCAAACATGTAACATGTACGGAAAAAAAAACAAGTTAAAAACAAGAAAAACAAAAGAGGGGATGGAAAACGTAAACGAGCGTTACATTCGTCTTCTGTAAAATATTCAGAAGCCAAAAGGGAGAATCTAAAATGAAAATGGTTGAAGCATGGGATGTAAGAAAGCCAACCCAAGCAGAAATGAATTTTCACAACTTAGAAGACGTAGCCCCGCGGAAAGAAGGAAAGAACCTGACCTTCCTCAAGTGAAGACCCTAAGTGCAGGGTGTAATAAGCGGCGCTATTTGCAGTGTTGTTGGAGGAGGTGGACAGTGAAGCAGAGACAGATAGTTTGAGAGTGAAGCAGCTAATTGCTGAGTCCATCCCTCATTTCCATATCCTGTGTGTGTCCGCTGGACCTCAGCCAATCCCCCACTCACACCACCATTAATCGCAATGCATTATTCACTATCATAATTATATACCGACATGCGCAATCCACACAACAGCAACACCAGCTAATTTCCGTAATTTTGCAACTCGACTATTTGTGAACATTTTTTTTATTTGCTCGCTGCTGATGTATCTGCAAAAGCAGAAACAACTCGCAGCTTACCAACAGCATGTCGCGCCGCAAGCAAGCGAAGCCACAGCATCTCAAATCGGACGAAGAGCCAACACTAGCTGAGGTAGTTTCTGAAAATGGTAAGTCTGTTTAGGTGTTGTAGTAAGGCGGAAAAGAGGGGGGTGGGAGATTTTTTTGTGAATAAACAGGTCAGCAGAAGTTGCACAATTTCTCAAAACGTGCAGCCACTTTTTTCAGATCTAGATCACTGTATGCAAACGTAGCCTTTGACATCCGTTGTAATTTTACTGATTAGATATGGACTTCGTACTGAGAGAAGCAGTGATCTAATTTGACCTGGTAGTTTTGGAAGGATTTGGTGGGGTGAAGAGGTAAAAGTTTTTTTATTAATTTTAAAAACACGTTTTGTAATGTCTTACGTTTTCACGGCAGTTAGGTTGTACATTATTCTTCACTTTTTTGATATGATGTTTTTGTATAAACAGACATATACGCGTTCGGAAAATATATATATATACAGATACACACGGTAGTTGGAGAACAAGGACTAATTCAATGTTCATTAAACATATACTTAGTTTCCTACCTTACAGTTTCCTACCTTACAGTTGTTAGCTGCCACCTAAAGCAGTTATTGTTCATTCTGATTTCACTTTTTTTTCCTTTTTCTGGTATTATTACAGCGAATGACCTTATTATTACCTTTGAAAAGTCATATTTTTTACTTGCGGATTGTTGCTTTTTTAAAGTTGTCAGTATAGCCTATACTCTACTTGACTGATGCTGTTTTGACTAGTTTAATGGATAATGTACACCCGAAGATAAAATAGATTTTAAACAGATAAGTGCGGCAATTTGGGTAGCAATACATAGGGCACGGATATTATAAAGATGTTTAACGATTATATAGGCATGTGTACTTTGCGTTATCAGTTTTGCTTGAGAGGAAGTCGTACAGTTGATTCAGAAGAAAATGCTAAATAAAGCTCTGTAGTGTGTCCCCTATTGTAATATGGTGGTTATATATTATTTGTTTACATGAAAGAAAACACTTTTATCATTTGCCAAAGAAAATGTCTAATTCAGGACCTTAAAATGTGTTTTTTTCACTAATGCAAATATTAATTATCAATATTAATGATATTAGTATTAACACTTTATCAGTGGGATTTAGTGCTGTTTCAGTTAGGTAAAGCAGAATGCCATAAAATAAATGACAAATAATGAATGCATTCTGGACAGCAACCTTTGTCATTAACCTTCGTGCTTTAATATTAGCTGTGTAAAAACGCATTTTGGAAAATAAACCGGGAAGGGGAAAATTTCGTCGTTAATCTTCTAATGTGTTCTAAAAACAAAGCACAAAATATTAACCTCATTTAAAGCAACGCACAATTGTAAGGAGAACGGAAGACAACAGAAAACTTTTCTAATCTTTTGCGTCTTCCCATCTGATTTGAATCAAGACTGGGTAAAATGCTTGCATATACTGGGGTAGATTAAGTGCAAAGTCTCTTTGTGATGGAAATGTTTTTTGTTTACTTCATCACGTAGAATTTCTCACACTTGGTTTGTTTTGTATCGCCTCTCAATTACTGTGAGATGAGTTGGTAAAGTATTATTTTCAGAATGAAAGAACGATCTTTCACTTAAAGAACTACACCGCATCACAGTTTGGAATTTTGAAAACGTTATTATGAAACTATGAGAATAATATACCCACACACAAACACACTACAACAACCATTCAATGCATAAACACAACATAAAAATTAAAAACGAAACAAAGAAATCTGCACTGAAGAACTTTTAGTTTAGGAAATAATTTTAATTTATAAAACGCATTTCTTTCTTCCGCTTAATATACATTAAGTTAAAATGATCCTATTTTCATGTCTGTGCCGTTTGTACTTACGCTGAGCTTTTCAGAGCTAAAGGTTAGGGTCGAATACAATTGTAACGGAAATTGCATGTTGTATTACAAAGTAATTAAATGTGATTTCAAACAATTGTAATTAAACGCAGCACACGCTAAGATACATATGTATATAAGAATTTTGTATCAAAGTGTTTCATATCAGAATTGTTTTGCAAATATGCAAAAAACTAAATTAGTATTTTTGGTTAAACACACAGTTACATTTTCCTCTTGTTTGGTAACAGTAGTGCAAGAGAATTACTTTCCAGATATTACAACCAAAAACATAAACTATGAAAAATAGAATAAGAATGTAAATGTCTTAGTTATTGCCCTTTATTTTTATTTCCATTTCAAGAATGGTGTATTTCGTCTTTTGAGAGATAACAACAATCATTTAAGTGAATGTATTTAAAGCATTGCTTGCAAACCTGTTTGTTTCCCTAAGCTATTAAATAAATAGGCTCAAATATGCCAGAGACAGATGTATTTAATGCTTCAAAGCAAATTGTAAAGCCTTTCCCTGCATGTAATGTTGTCTCAGGTCATGGAAAAGTGGTAGATCATCCTAAGATTGGATTTCCTGCAGTTTACATTGTAATGTGCTGACATAGTTCAGCTCAACACCATTCTATTTTACATAGTAGTCTACAGAGAGGAATACTATGGTCAGCATTTCTTATTGATGACATTAAGTGCTGTTTTGGTATGCCTAACAAATCACTGCAGTTTCATTTTCTGCCTTTCTGAAGTTATCCAACACTATTTTACACTTCTAACATACAGAAGAGTTTGAAACTGCGTTGTAACATTCCATAGTACATCAAGCCCAGCAAACTGTATATATATTGACAAGGGTTTCACTTCATCTACGATTACTTGTGGGTTCTTGTGTGTCGGACTGAAGCAATTCCACTGAAAGAGAAATCATTTTGTCCCTTTGCCATTGCAGAAAGGGGTTTTCAGGTCATGTATATGCTAAACAATGCTTGTATTCTACTCATGTGCTTGATAACAGTGCAGGTGTTCAACTTTTAGATTGTTTCACCAAATATATTGTTACACAGGTTATTACAAACAATTCAGGCCATTTGTTTTAAAACACGAATTCTGAAATGTCGATCTTGCCTTATGTAAAATAGATTTAGTTTTATTCTTCCTTGATCAAGACCCACGGTAAAGTAATGCGATTCCCTTATGCATAACAAATAACTACTGATATAAAATGTGCGTATGATTTGTTTACCTGAAAATAACCTGTTTATTTTATATTATGGAATTAAACGTGATTTCAATGATAGCAGCTTGTCTTCCAACACTCTTATAATTTAATTGAGTGCATTTTTTTATTTAAAGTAATGTGCCGTTGTTCATAAGGGAACACCATTGTTGAAATACAGAGAGAACACTCTCCATCCAAGAACAAACTCTTAAAAAGAGCATGGGGTTGTTAACTCTATTAGACCTGGAGGCCTCCCAAACTCAGGGAAAAAATTGCAGACTATCCAGAAATAGAAGATTTTTTTTTCACACCGACAAGGCTTGTGTTAGCAGTTCATCTGCTGGGAATGTCAAACAGTTCACCACAGATTCCATTTTAAAAACTTCAGCACCTTTCATGCAGTATCTGATTCCTGAAGACTTAAACTCACATGTTAGGTAGTTGAATTGTGGGCTTGAGGTTGGCGCAGGTTGTAAGTATTGCAGTCTCTTGTTCTGTTTTATTTGCTGCTGGAGCACAACAGTACTTTACTTTGCTGAAGCACTTCAATTTAGTCTTCTGTTTTTGAGAAGGGCTGAGAAAGCTGGCATCAGGAACTCGGGTGGCTGGACTGATCACTTTCTTTTTCATCCCTTTAAAATATGGTCTGTGGGACCTTACCACATTTATTTTTCAGTCACTTTCTCGTAATGAAGAATCATTAGAAGTCATTGTGCAATAAGTGTATATAAGAATAAATACATGCAAGGAGAAAGAAAGATTTGTTTGCACACTTGCAAACACAGATATGCAATTATGTGTGTATAATGATTAGTACAACTGCATATACATTATGTAATTATAACATACGGTGAATTCAAAAACAGAGATCTTCAGAACAATGAGCGTTCTTCTCATAGTATTTAAAATTGTTGCCTAACCATCATTTGTAACAGATATTGTTCTTAAAAAATGTAATGAAATTCAGTTGGTAAGAAAAACAGCATATAATAATTATAGGAAAGATGTGGAATATATAACAAAATAGTAGTTTGCCATATATGCTTTAAATCTGTAGTTATAAAATGACATTTTTAACTCTTTCGTAATTGTAGCTAAATTCCAACATTTTTTTGTGATTCTGTTTCACAAGCAGAAAATGGATAACGGGTGTCTATGCAGCTAATTGTATCACACCGCAGAATTTCTCCAGCAAACCTGGAGCATTTGTTTCATTGTGTCAATGCTATTCAGATTGTGCAAATCTTTTCTGTACACAATCACTCCCAAAATCTCTGTTCCCCTCAGCACTGTGCATGCTGTGTAAAGCCTACTTTAAATGTTATACAACACCTAGTCCGGACACCATTTTGTCTCCAAGAAAAATGACAACAAACCAAAAAATAACAACAAACCCTTTTCTGTACAGACTGAAAGGTGAAGTTATGGGTTGTTGGGGTTTTTAAAAAAAAAAGTGTAAAGAGCTCTTTTTCTCGGGTAGAATTAAACAGGAGCCTACAGCTGTTCTTTTCACTTCTCAACCAGTGTTTAATTAGGATTTATTCATTATTTAAACCCTAGAGTTGATTTGACCTTTTTGTGTGTCTCTTTTGTATTAGGCCTGCATTGTTGTCAAATGTAGCACATTAGGGTCCTTTTGTGTGATGTCCCTGAAAAGGTAGGATCGCATGGAGTGCCAACAAGCTTCTGATGGCCTCCCCCTCAGGGTGGGTAGTTAGAAGTGCTTTGATAGAGCCTGCTGACTTAACCTTTGCCTGCCATGCCCTGCCAGGGGTGGACGCTAGATGTCAAGCTCATAATACAATTAGTACATCTGTGCCATTGACCTTGGCAGCATAGCCTACCAGTGTTCTGTAAAGTGTTAACACTGATTTTTGAGTGTTAACTCCAGATCGCTGTGAGCAAGCACTTGTGTACTGACTGTGGTGGCAGTGGGTCTCCCGAGACAGTGTGGCTATTAGGGAAAACCTTTCTTTTTC